TTTTTTTTAATTATAAAAAAATCATATTCTGGACTGAAATTGTTCAGGCAACCCATTTCCAATATACTTAACGATATATTTAATTTGACTTGAAATACTTTTTATCCATTAACCAACTCGGTGAAGGTCGTTTTATATCGGGATCTTAGACTATCAATTGCTCACGACCTCACGCACACACAGAGGAGCGAACATAAACTTCTTAAAAGACATCTATATCTTGCCAAACAGGAGAACCAACAGGATTCTTACATAGCGGGCAACAAACTGTTTGTGAACGGAAAAGCCTACAAAGCAGAAGATCTGGCAAACACTCCACTGGACAAATCCTCAGCTAAGCCCTACTACTCCATCAACACCTGTAATAAAAAAGCCGTCCACTGCATCAGAAAGGCCGTTGGTAAGACCTCCAAGTACCCCAAAATCCTCAGTAAATGAAACGCTAGCACCAAAACAAAATGAATTGACTAAACCAAGAACACGTTCTTTCAAATAAATCGGAAACATTTTTATCTTTTATATTATATATTTCTATAGTTCACGTCATATACAACTAATGCCTGAAGAACAAAAATTATAGACTCAGACGAACTGAATTTGGAGCCAGGTACACTTTTGGAAGTGGAGGAAGTCTTTTGTGACAGCGAACCATCAGGCAATCAACAACTTGAGACTAATCAAGAACATAATAATACAATATCAGTTCAACAAGTTCGTGAAGCAACCAGGAAGACGTACTAGTGCGAGAAATTTGAAGAACAGTAAAATAATCTAAACGCAGTGTGAGTAGTATACTTTGTTCCCCTAATGACATTGTTTTTCTTTTATTGATTTATTTTCTGACATTGTAAAAAATTCACATTCCTATCTTAATGGATCCATACATACGTGATTTCAATATAGAAAGTATACAAGACTTCACAATAGAAGATCACAACGAATTGCGTTCTGTATTGAGAGTGAATGAGATAAATTGCAATCTCAACAGCAATGTTGATTGTATTGTGTTCACAGAAACTAGAGGTATAAACAATTGTGATGTCTATAACATACCGGGGTACGATCTCCTCTATAACGAAGGTCATACAAACCAAAATGACGGGGTAGTTGTATACATAAGATCGAAGTATAAATATTCCTATGAAATATTATCCCTGGGTATAAGTAACACGCTCCAAGTCACCATTCAATCAAAGAATAATATTAACATTGTTATCACTGCGTTTTATCGCTCACCTCTGAATCCCTATGAATTCAACAAACACCTACAACAATATCTGAGCGAGCACGATCAGAACAACGACTATTATTATGTTTTTCTTGGTGATATTAATATCGACATATTGAATAACTCTAATTATGTCAATGAATGAATGAACATAATGAATGAGTATGGATATAATTCTACAATCAACAGTCCAACAAGAATTCAAGGAACTTCTGCTACATGCCTCGAGCATATATTCATTAAATCGAAAATACTTGGAATAGCTGACGCGGTTATCCCGCTGATAGTAAAAACAACTATTACCGATCACTTCACAACAGCTCTTCGAATAATTCACAATTTATATAACCCGAACCACAGTGAAACCAGATCGAGAAAATATATAGACTACACAAAACTCAACAACATTATCCGGCACACCTCTTGGACCTATGTTTATACTGCGTCCAATTTAGATACCGCAGCACACAACTTTGTTGCATACTTATCAAAAACAATAGATGACTGTACAAACCATGTGAAAATTAATAGGAAAAATACAAAAATAGCGCCATGGATGACTAAAGGTCTATTGAAATATGTGGATACAAAAAATGANTAACCTAATGTATTACAACATTAAATTATAGGTAATAGGTATAAGTTTATATTTCTCCATTGTAATTTTATCGATATTGGCTTTGTCTTTCGTCTTTAATTATATATATATTCTTTTTTATTATTTTATCACTAACAATCACGTTTAGAGCTTCTGTGATTTCTTGTTTATTCATACATAAATCTTATATAATTCATGTGAATTGGCAGGATGAATAAACTTTATTATTATCATTTCAACTAGAACTCAATCTCGTATCTACTCCCTGAGCGAAGCCGAGTACTCCAGCTAGTAACTAATAAAAATGATAATGAACTTGAATGATATTCACTCAAACGAAAGTATGTTCATAACTATCATCGGCAGCCTGGTGGATTGTCGTGTAAACCGTTGTGTAAACTGTTATTTCGATCCGCAAGGCTGGGCGATCGAATTTCACTTCCTATCGTATTACCTGTGTTAGGAATCACACGTTAAAAAGTAAGACCTCGTTTATCCGTAGCTCGCACAAGTTTCGACTTTTGAGAGTTGTTGTTCGTAGGGGGCGAGAGCTGGTTAATGGAAAAACAGATTTTAATAGATTTTAGCATATTTTCAACAGATTTTCATTTCGAATTATCTATCTACCTGAAATCAACACAAAACAAATATACCACCTTGTCGCATCGGTTTCAATACTAATGTATTGAAATTGATAAAGAACCACATTATATGTGACCATTACGTTATTGAAGTGGCTACAGTAAGATATCCTTGAGAGATATACATATGCCATCGCAGACTTTTTTCCAGAACTTTAAAAAAAGAACAACATGATGCGAATGATTTTGTTATAGCTTAAAGGAATTAAGGAGCGTTTTCAATGAAAACTTACAAAGTAGCAACTTCTCACGGATAACATCGTCGTATTTCAACCAATTCATACAAAATACTATTATATTAAACACACAACCCTTTCTCATGAATCACTCTGCTCATTGATGGAAACCGTATGAGAAGCTTTCAGGTAGTTTTTGAGTTTATCGCGTTCAGACAGACAGAAAAGCAGACAGACAGACAAATAAACAGTTAGATTGACACGGTGACAGAGTTTTCATCTATAATATGTGTTTATAATATAATAATCAATTAGTTTCTCAACAGAAATATTTGAGACGTTTCATAAAAGTTTATTATTCATTTTTCAAATTAAATGAAAAACATGAGGCGATGACCAAAATTTATACTTTATCTCTCTGTATCTCTGGCATAAATTCAATTATATTGTTCAGATCATTTTGGGAAACGTTTTCATACAACTGTATTAGTATATATTGACAGTCAGACAATTCTTTTTTGGAGAATTTCAAAACAGGTTATACCAACTTTCAGCAATGGCGAACAAATTTTCAAGCCCCAAACTGTCACTATATTTTTGTTTCAGTTGTATGGAATCATAAAAAAACTTTTTTCATGAATTATATATTGCATTTTCCACATATGTCCAATTTTCACTGTAATAACTGAAGTATGATAAAATCCCCACTATCACATGTTGCCTGTGACGTGATCAGTACCCTGCAAATGGTCGTAGCTTATATCGAGAAGCTAACTATTCAATCTTATTAGTTCTTTGATGAATGAGTGAATTGTTCTCTTTTACTTCAACAAAAGATTTTTATTGTGAACCAGTGAAAGTAGATAATGGGAAAAAAGCGTTTGAAAAAATTACGATTTAAACTAATTCGAAAAGAATTGAGAAATATTGTTTCATCTGAAATGGGCGATGATGAGAAACTTCAGTCAGTATTCGCATTAAATGCCAAACAAGAAGTGGATGTAAAGACAGGTGAAGTTAAAAATTTCGAGGATGCAATACTTAATAAGGACGATGGAAATGATTTTTATAGAAAGAAGGATTTCAAACTTGCTTTGGCTTCATACAATTTGGGGATAGTGAAATGTCCTCAAAACACAGGTGAGCTAATCTCGATAGAATAAAAAAAAGACTTGAATTTGTTTTGTTTCCTCTATGGATGTACAATTTTGAGAAAACACCAAATATCTCCAATTCACAAAAAACTATTTAACAAAATAATATACTGTTTCTGTTTCTCAATCTATAGTTGTCTTTTGATTGAAACAGAGAAAAATTACATCGCCGGACAGGCGTTTCGTTTTGAGTTTTCAAAATGTTCATTTTGATATATTGGGATACTTGGAGTATAATACTACTTCATTTCTAAGATGATTCTTGTAATGAAATGAATCTGATATATTTAGTACAGTAACAGAAAGAGGAGAGGACCACACTGATGGTCAGACAAGCCTCTCTCTATGAGCCAGAGAGCTTCGCTTGAGCCTTTTTTTGTAAGGCCTTCGGCCTTACACATAAGTGATCATTGGTCTGACAATCATCATATAAATTCAATGGATTTGTTTGGGACCTAAACCCCTAGTTTTACCACAAATCCTTCTACATGTTCATAGGGACAGTCTGCCTTTCTGTAAAACTTTTTCCAAGTGACCGTTCGAGGTGAGTTTTCCATCGAGGACAATGCCAAGATATTCCACCTCCGTTCCAAATGGAATGACCCCACCATTGAGAAAAAGTGGCGTTGAATTGTCCAGTTTTCTCCTTCTGGTGAAGGGGATTATGACAGTCTTGCTGGGGTTGACAGACATCTACTCCCTCAGGCACCAACTGCGAACAACGTCCATCGTGCTTTGGAGGATATTACAAGCTACCCTTCCCGACGTGGCCCTTGCCAAGATGACAAGGTCATCTGCATAAGCTTGCAGATCTACTTTTCTTTTTTCGAGGGCATCATACAGACTATCCGTCAGGAACGACCACAGAAGGGGAGATATTCCCTTCGAGGACAGCCTCTGGTTACTCTGAACCTAATAGCCTCGCCTTGAAGAGTCGTAGTTGCAGTTCTGTTCAACAGCATGGCATAGATCCAGCCAGTTATGGTCGATTCTATACCTTTCCTGGCCAAAGACGATCCTATAGATTTAGGTAGTGCATTGTCAAATGCTCCTTCAACATCGAGAAATACAGCAACCGCAAGGGGACAATATAGACGTTTTTTAGATCAAAACTATCGATGGCCTTTTTCGAACTTTCACAAAAAACTGAAAATGACGGATGACGTTTTTTGTTGGATCCACTGCTTCCATTTCGAATAGAATGAAAATGATACAAATTAATTTCGTGTGCAATTTGTTATGATTTAGTATGAACCAATTCTCGATGCGAGATTTCCTTTCTTTTCAATAAGAAAATCAAATTTTTCATTGATTTTAGTAGCCACAATCATAACAAATTCGGCCATTCACAACAACACATGTATTTCTTCACATTTCGCTTCGAGTACCAGATTCATATCAGAACATACAAGATACCACTGGAGCCCCAAGGAGTTTACGAAGTATCATGTCAAGACTGTGATAAGGCTTACATCGGCCAGACCAACAGGCGAATCAACATACGCAAGAATGAACACAAATTATCAGTGAAGGGAAAAGTCCTACGTCTTCTCTTTTCCAACATGTATTAGCGATAGGAAAAAACATCAATTTCGAGAACACAAAAACTCTAGCAAACGATGAGAACTTCTACTCTCGAACAATCAGAGAGAACAATCATAATTTAAAAATGACTCAGTGGTATGAACAAGAGGGATGACGCGCAAAGATTACCAGCAACGTGGAGATCCATCTTATTACTTCACAAAATCAAACAGACGTGATTATTTAGGTATAATGAGAAAGGCAGATGGGACAGCACAGGTAATCAGGCCAACACAGGCAGTAGGAGTAACCCTGGTAAAAAATGGTACTAACCACCCCTATAAATTGAGAAACAGAGTTTCAGTGAATCAGTCTAGTTCTAAACTCCTCTCTAAACTATTTTTATGAAATATGTATTTTACGTTATTATTTAGACTCCCGAATTTTTACGGTCTAGAAGTCTCATCGGTTACAATAAAATTCATATTCTTTCTGTAGTTAATAATGTCGCTACAATTGTTGTTTTCCTTATCGTTTGATGAATTGTTTACCATAACAACATTACATGTCTTGTTATGAAGTTATTGTTTACTGCTTGATCAGCGTCTGTGTCAGATGTTTGTACATCTTACCTTGTCCATTTGTTGTCCTGAAATATCTCATAAATTTGTTTTGTTTGGTTATGTAACAGATTAGCAACTGATTCAGATATATATTTCATGCGTAGAATATATGAGGACATGTCTTCACACAAGAATTAATGGGAAATGAACTCAAATATATCAAATAATATTTTTATATGCACACGAAAATATTCAACAAATCGAGAATTGAAGGTGATACGAAACAAATGAGGGGCCTACAATTTTTTTGAGGTCAGTGTCGAGCCCAGTTTTGTTTTGGCCATCTTGATTCATTTTTCTTACATGCACTAAGATTTACCAAGGTTTTAAAATATGTTTTCTTTTTCACTCGCTCGTAACTCGTAAAAAATTAAAGCCGTCAGGTCGTAACACTTTTTGATAAAACTTCAACTGTTCATTAAGGCCAAGTAAATGCATATCATAAAAAATGTCACAATCCAATTAAAAGTTTTTGAGAACCATAAACCACCATATCCTCAAATATTTGGAAGACTTTTAACATCTTAAGCGATATTCAATATGGCTTACGGAAACAAAGGTCAACAGGCGAACTTCCATCGTATATCATCAATATTTGGAATAACGCAATCGAGAAACATCGAGAGTCAAGAGCTGTAGCGCGTGATATTTCTGAGGCCTTTGACAGTGTGTGGCATGAGGGTTTGCTGGCCAAACTTCGAAGCTATGGCTTGTCGCTGGAATTGTAAAGGCTGATTCTCAAAAGCTCGGAACACTGTTCCGAACCAGAAAACTGTAGACACCTCAGCAACGTTCAATGCTTCATAAAGCTCTTTGGAGTAATGTTCTCTTGAATGGAGCTCTGCCCTAAAACATACCCTGAAGTTGCTGGATTCTTCAGAAAAGAGCTATCCACCTCATTGGAGACGCGAACATCACATGCAACCTTGATAGCCTGGAACATCGAATAAAGGTTGGAGATTTGTCTCTATTCTATAGATATTTTCACGGTTCAAGTGTTCAAGTGACTTGGCACATTTGATTCCACCAAGAGCGGTACATATCAGAAATACGCGACGGACTCTGTCGGTTTAAAAATCTTTTTTTCCGTTAATCA